TTGGAATTAAAATTCCTGTTATGTCTTTAATTTTTTTGATAAGGAGATGCTCTGTTGACCCATGGAGACTCACTCAAGCCATTTCTGTTCCCCCTTTTAACTCTATGGGTGGGATTTGAGTACGCGTTATGTTTATTTATTTATTTATTTATTTATATTTAAATTTATACCCCGCCCTACCCCGAAGGCTCAGGGCGGCTTACAGGGCACGAGTGCCGGTTAAAACAATAACATATGGTTTAAAAACAATAAATTACAATAAAATAAACAATTTACAACAAATAACAACAAAATTTCAAACAAGAAAAGAGAGATCTTATCTGACATAGCTACCCTAGATCTTATCCTAGAGCGGTGTTTGGTACTACGTTCCACCCTTAGGGGCCAGGCAATCCAATGTTAGTTTGGTGTTAAGTCGCTGGGGCTGAGCAGTGGCGGCGGCTCCTATCCAAAGGCCTGGCGGAAGAGCTCCGTCTTGCAGGCCCTGTGGAACTGAGAAAGGTCCCCATGTTTACCCTTCGGACTCAGCGGAAGAATGAGCATTGGCTGGGTTGTGCTCTAGTTCTATTTCTTTTGAAATGAAAACTGAGCTTCTTAAGATGCAGTATTTTGTGCCGGACTTAGTGCTCGTGTAGCGCAGTCACAGAATGCTGAGAGCCCTACAGGTTCTGATTGTGCGAATCAAGCCGAACTTACACGAATATTCTGTTTATCCTTATTCTTAAACTGAAAAATAGAAAATGTATTATACCCTTGGAATTTCACAGAACCAGCAAGTTACTCTTCCATTACAGCTGCAGTCCAAAACTAATTTTACGTCTACTCATATATTAATAGTTTGTGATGAGATAGATTTATCATATATTCGTTAACTGGCTAAATCAAACCTATATCATGCCCTATCAAGCCATTCCTTTTTCTCCCCAATTATTAATGTGTACTTTTATGCATTTACATTATTTATATCTGCCTTTTAGCTTTAAAATAATTTCTGTTCAAAAATTCAAAGTAGTATAGTGTCATTGGATAAAAATTCTTAAGCAGTAATATTACTACGCTCTGACCAGGGTGACCCAGGGTGGCCGGATCTCATCAGATCTCAGAAGCTAAGCTAGGTTGACCCTGGTTAGTACTTGAGCCCACCAAGGAATTCTAGGGTTACTGTGCAGAGGCAGGCAATGGCAAACCACCTCTGTATGTCTTTTGCTCTGACCTGATCTCAGAAGCTAAGCAAGGTTGGCCCTGGTTAACACTTGGATGGGAGCCCACCAAGGTATTCAAGGGCTGCTGTGCAGAGGCAGGCAATGACAAACCACCTCTGTATGCCTTTTGCTTTGACCTGGGTAGCCTAGGCTATCCCGATCTCATCAGATCTCAGAAGCTAAGCAAGGTTGACCATGGTTAGTACTTGGATGGGAACCCACCAAGGAATTCTAGAGTTGCTGTGCAGAGGCAGTCAATGGCAAACCACCTCTGTATGTCTTCTGCTCTGACCATAGCCAGTATGGTTGCAGTGTCTAACACCTGCTCTATGTGCCAAGCAGTCTTCAAGAGCACAACCATACAGAATGTATTACAGCAGTCTAGTCTTCAGCTTACCAAGGTATGTCTAACAGCAGTCAGGTGAGGTCTTCGTCTTTCAACGGGGTTATGATCAAATATGCTTAAACAATCAACAGAGTCCTCGATACCCGCAACCCCTTCCTATTCGGAAATTTCACCCGGACCTGATATTTAACATGCCAGGGAGTCCATCCCCTTGTGGCTGTCCACTTATGACCTGGTTACAGGTGCGAAAAACCTTAACTGGAAAACGTCCAATGCTGCCTTAGCTCTGTTCGTTTTGACCTGACCGTTCTGTCCGTCCTTCCCTTGTGTTTCAGTTTGACTTTGTGGAACTGCTCGACGGGAGGCGACTACTCACTCAGGAGGCAAGGAGCCTGGAAGGGCCTCAGCGCCAACAAAAGGGCTTTGTGCCATTGGCCAGCCACGAGACGGGATTCATCCAGTATTTGGACTCAGGAATGTGGCACCTCGCCTTCTACAATGATGGGAAAGAAGCCGAGGTGGTTTTGTTTCTCACCACTGCCATCGGTAAGGACCTAACACGGGGTTGGAGGTGGCAGAAGGTGGAGGGATGTCTTTCCGGTCAACCAGGTATCGAGGGTGGTCTGTCACTTTTTTCTTTGCACCGAGCTGAATGTAATTAGTAAGCATTTCCCACAACAGTGCAGCCTCTGAGTCTGGAATTACATTTGTGTGTGCAGATGTTAGCATCTTCACGCCCCTATATGTGTTACGTGCCATCAAGTAGCTTCCAACTTAGGAGCGGCATCTTCAGACGAGGACTTAGACTCTAAATTAGGGGCAGCTGCCCCGAAGAAAAGCTATCATTTGAGAAAGCCAAAGTATAAAAAATAAGATGTTTTCACACTCTAAAAGCTCTCAAAATGTATTGATATAAGTCTTAGGCTCCGATCATACACAGAAGTTGCCGTGGGATACTCACGGATGCGGGGCAGATTTAACAGGCGCGATCACACCAGCACGTCTGGCAAGCGTCACGCACCCGTTGGCAAGCCATCGCATCCCGCCGAAGATCCGTAGTTCAAAGCTACTGCAGAAACACCAGTATTACCCGCTTGCGACGGGCCACAGATGGACGTCCTCTGTCTGATCACTCCAGCTCTGCATGAAGCGCGCCGGAAACGTGCACCGACAAAATGCTACCCCCGATTCCCTGCCATCGAGTCTGATCGCATTCGGCTGGGTCACAAATGCGGCGGAGCGAAAAGCCACGCCTCCCCCCGTGTTCTCTGGCCAGTGTGACCGGGACCTTTTATTGCTTTTTAAGAAGTCAGAATTAGAGGTGTTTAAACTCATATTATTAGTATAAATTGATTGTTAGATGACCACATTCAGTGAACTTGAAATGAATTATGAGCTAAAGCTAATTTTGATAAGCAGTTTGTATGACCACCATCTCTTGGGTTTTTAGTGGGTTTTCTTTACTTTTATCCATAGTTTGTAGTTCCCTTCCCTTTTTCTGTTGTAGTTTTATAGTATGTAGTTTATAGAAAATGCAAATTTTAAAAAATCCCATATGGGGGGCAAAAAAAAAAGTTGCTTCTGACTTATGGCGACTCTAAGAATTAATGACCCCCGGTTACTGAATTATGTGGAGTATACAATCAGTGACTCCTGGGGTGTAGCCGCAGCTCTCAGCTGCAAAGCAGAGCTCATTAGAGGACTGACCCTGTAAAAGGCACACAGGATTCCTGTGGGGCTTGCGAATGGTGCTTCAAACAGGGCTTCTAGCAGGGGAGTTGAACTTGGGATTGGTGCAAGAGGCAAAGAGGGGTAAGTTTGTCTTTGCTTGAAGTGATGTGGTTTCTGAGATGTTTGGGGGTCTGTGTGAAAGGAGCTGTGGTGGCTCAAGTGGTTAAGACGCTGAACTGCAGGCTGTGGAAGGTCGGTAGTTCAGCAGTTCGAGACCCGAGTGTGCTGCATGACGGAGTGAGCTCCCGTCTCTAGTTCCAGCTCCTGCCAGCCTAGCAATTCGAAAGCAAGAAATTGCAAGTAGATAAATAGGTACCACTTCAGTGGGAAGGAAACAGCGTTCCGTGCGTCTTGGTGTTTAGTCATGCCGGCCACAGGACCACGGAAATGTCTTTGGACAGTGCTGGCTCTTCGGCTTTGAAACGGAGATGAGCACCGCAACCCTAGAGTTGGATTCGACTGGCTTTCGAGCAAAGGAACCTTTACTTTTATTTTTTACCTGTGTGAAAACCTCCTAGCTTCTGGTTAAGTGCACTAGAAGCACATGGTTCTGTTGTGAGGGGCTTATGCTTGAGTGAGGTGAGTCACAGGCCCGTAGCCACGGTGGGGCATCTTGGAGCCCGGCACCCCGACTTACTGCCAAAGTCCCCCGACTTCCAATTTTTTATTTTATTTGTGGCGCTCGCTTGGAGATGTGTGCGGGGTGCCCCCCAACTTATTTAAAGGCTTTAAAAAATTAATTAAATTTAATTCTGTAGCCAGAATTTTAAAAAATCCTGGCTACAGGCCTGGTGAGTCATCTGCTTGCTGTTGTCAGGTTCCTGGAGATCTGCTTAAGCAAACTTGTGAAAACGTATATGTATATTTCCTCGCATCCATATCTTGTTACCTGTGTCCCCTTCCTCTGCCACATTCCACCAACATCTGCATTTAGGTTGTAAGATTCTCAGACGAGTCACCTGTGTCTTGTCTAATGTCCGAATCCTGGTTAAATCAGTTCTCAACGCCATTCACTTCCTGATTTCCATGTGTTTTCAAACATAAGGTCTGTCACAGAAAGGACATAGAAAGAGATGCAGTGGAAATTCTAATGAGTAACATGGCCTTGGACGTTGAGAAATCCACTTGTTCCTGCAACTGATGATAACACAGACGGGGGCAAAGACTTGTTATCCGCTACTCCAGGGAGCGAGGCTGGATTGGATCGGTTTAATTTACAGGAGGGCCCATTTCAGTTGAATATTAGAAGAAATCTCGTATCAGTAACAACAGTTGAACTATCAAACAGTGGTGGGCCTTAGTAGAGGTCTTTGAGCAAATATACTGGACAGAAATCTATCAGAGCTGCTCTTGCTTTGGACGTCTTTCATTAATTGGGGGTTGGAATACGTACCTTAAGTACTGTCAAGCCACATCCAACTCAGCCAGTTTGGTGTAGTGGTTAAGTGCGCGGACTCTAATCTGGGAGAACCGGGTTTGATTCCCCACTCCTCCACTTACACCTGGCTGGATGACCCTGGGCAAGCCATAGTTGTGGCACAGCTGTTCTTGAAAAAGAGCAGTTTCTGTCAAGAGCTTTCTCAGCCCCACCTACAGGGTGTCTGTTGTGGGGAGGAGAAGGGAAAGGAGTTTGTAAGCCGCTCTGAGACTCCCTTGGGTAGTGAAGGGCGGGGTATAAATCCAATCTCCTCCTCCTCCTCATAGTAACCTCAGCAAGGCAAGTGAGAAGAAGAGGTGGTTTGCCATTGCCTTCCTTACAGAGTCTTCTTTGGTGGTCACCAGTTGAAATGTCGGCCCTGCTTAGCTTCTGAGATGTGACAAGATCAGGCTGTACTACACCATTCCATATCCCCAGTGCTTGGACTAGTTGGCCCCTTCGGTTTCTACTGTAAACCCTGACCCGGATGGCCCAGGGCTAGCCCAATCTCATCAGACCTCAGAAGCTAAGCAGGGTTCGGCCCTGTTTGGGAGTTGGATGGGAGACCATCAAGAATGTCCAGGGTCACTATTCAAAGGCAAACAATAGCAAACCACCTCTGAACATCTTTCGCCTTGAAAACCCTATGGGGTCGGCATAAATCAGGTGTGACCTGATGTCACTTTCCATCACTACTGCCAGACATGGTTAATAATTACCATTTGGTGTAGTGGCTAAGTGCATGGACTCTAATCTGGGAGAACCAGGTTTGATTCCCCACCTCCTCCACTTGCAGCTGCTGGATGACCTTGGGCAAGCCATAGTTCTGTCAGAGCTGTCCTTGAAAGGGCAGTTCTCTCAGAGCTCTCTCAGCCCCACCTGCCTCACAGGGTGTCTGTTGTGGGGAGGGGAAAGGGAAGGAGTTTGTAAGCTGCTCTGAGACTCTAAGTGAAGGGTGGGGTATAAATCCAATCATCTCCTCCTCCTCCTCCTCCTCCTCCTCCTCCTCCTCCTCCTCCTCCTCTTCTTCTTCTGTAGCACCTTTGGAAGGTTTTCATGTCCTTCTTCTCAGTAATCTTTACAACCCCGCGTTACTGCATTCTTCTTGGCCTACTGCAAATAGCGAGCAAAGGCAGAGCCAGTCTAGATTTCCGGTGGCCATCCAGGGTGTTTGTGGCTGATTTGTGATTCGATCTTGGCAGGCCACCAAGCCGAGTACGCTACAGGGGTCTCTGCTCCGTTGAAAGCTGAGCACGGCATTATTTCAAGTCAGTTTTTTAAAACCCCACTAAGTACCGGGAGACTCCCGATACAATCGCACGGGGTGGCCACCCGTACCGCGATCATATTTTTTACCAAACCGAGCCAGCCACGTTTCATATCTCTTAATCCATCTTCTTGTAATTCACAGGCCCTCTCGTAAAAAATTAACACTTCGCATTCTTCTAACCACAATGATTATTTAATGGTCTGATTCCCACCCCCCTTCCTCGTCTGCAAAAGGATGGCTCGTCTCCGAGTTCGCCATTAATCCTGCTCCCCAAAGAGGCATTGGCGTTGAGTCTCTGCTGTCTGCGGCAGTTACCTGAGAGCTATCGGCTGTAATTTGTCTTGGCAGGTTAATTAAAAGTTTAGGTCTTATTAAAGCAAAGTCATTAAGGCTGCAATATACAATTTTTTTTTGCCTTGAAAGTTTACTTAATCACGAGTCGAAATGCAATGGTAATACTCTGCTTTCGGTTGGGAGCACTGGAGTTTGAGCAGGTCTTTGCTGTCAGGAACGCTCACGCTTGCAAACCTGTTCATCATTAAGCAGCACCGAAAATAATTACATTTTAATTTACCCATCTGAATGCCGTAGTGTTTTGCATTTCTTTAGCAGGCGGTGATTGGGAATGAGTCAGGGATTTAGCTCTGTGTGGCGTTCTTCTCAGCAGAGGACATTCCAAGGTCTTCTTGGACAATAGGTCTTGAGGATGGTTCTTAAAAAAGAAAGAAAAAAAGAATCATAGAGTTGGACAGAGGTCATTTTGGGGGGGATCGCAGTTCCCCCGGGTGAGGTACGGGGGGCGGGGCACATGACGAAGCCCCGCCCCCTGCTTCCGGCCGCCCCGCTTCGGGCCCTCATTCAGCCAGGAGGAGGCAGGAGAAGAGGGAGGGTAAGTTGCTTCCTCCCTGCCTCTCCCCACCCCTGCCTGCCTGGGGCCAGGGAGGGTCTTCGCGGGGCTTCCTTGCACTCCCGCCGGCCTTGCAGGTCCACCGCCGGGCCCCTCATGGGGCTCGGCAGTGGAGCTGCAAGGTCGGTGGCAGCGGCCGGGACCGTTGGGGGTGGTGTGTGTGGCCTTATGACACACGTCCGGTGATGTCGGGTGGGGGGGCGGCCTTATGACACACTTCA